TTGAAATATTGTATTCGCAATAAACTCAAGTATTTCCGTCGTTGCTGTCACGATTCTGCTTCTCAGTCATCGAAGTCTCATGTAGCGAGTACGGCGACAATACCAAGATTCTGGTGAACGCTATTGTTACGTCCTGGGTGTTTCGGAAACTACGAATTTCTTTTTTAATTATATGATTGGGAAACAGACGGACTTCGGGCAAACGCTACTGTAACAAAGATAAGATTACATTGGCCGTCGTTAAACGTACCGTATGGTTCCCCAGGTGTTATCATTCATTCCGCCTTCATGTAAAGTATGTAGTTTATTTATATTCTGGGTACCCCGGGGACGATAGATTCGTTTTTTTATATAAGTAAGATATCTTGCCGCCTCTACGTTAGGCACGTATGTGTCCATACTGGGTACCTAGATAGCAACGAATTCCTCTTCTTATGATTATAAAACTAACAAATTTGATCAAACGGTTTATGAAAAGATNTACGTCATAAGGCTCCCAATGGGGCTGCGATCTATCCACCCTTGTATACAGTCGGTAGAACAAGGGTCCTCCTATGCAATTAGGTTCTTAAAATTGTTTATATTAATACTAGGAATTTTCCAGAGTAACCGTCTTCCACGCAACCTCCTCTCATTGGTGGACGTCATCCACCACCCCCTGAAATCCTTCTTATATAAGCCTTACCCTTTTTGCCGCGAAGGCAGTTACAATAGTAGTTCTTTTGCAGTCAGTGACAGTCACAGTCGCAGTTACAACAGTAGTTCTTTTGCAGTCAGTGACAGTCACAGTCGCAGTTACAATAGTGGTTCTTTTGCAGTCAGTGACAGTCACAGTCGCAGTAACAATCACAGTTCCAGTTGCAGTCTAGTTCAGTTCAGTTTAGTTCAAGCGCAGTCCAGTCCAATTCAAGTCCAGTGCAGTTCAGTCCAGTACAGTTCAAGTATAGTTACAATTAGAATTACAGTCGCAGTCACAGTTGCAGTTCTTAGTGTCAGTTCTTAGTTAGTCAGTCTTAGTTCAGTCTTCAGCAGTCCA